CATTTTTTGAACCTTTGCAAATTGATTTATAACTGAGAAAGATACTCTACGCGTAGCCAAAAGTGCGCACTTTAATTTAATATAAAAATCATTAAAATCTATTCGCTAAAAGTATAAAAAATATTTCAAAACTTTTCAAAGAAATTGCAAAGATGCACAATTTACAGCATTGCATTCTCCGACATTTTATAAACTTTACATGTTAAATTTATAACTCGATGTGGTATTTTACGCGTAGACAAAAGAGTGTTCTTTAATTTAATATAAGTTTCATTGAAATCTATTTACTTTTAGTATAGAAAATATTTACCAAAATTTTTCAATGAAATTGCAAAGATGCACAATTTACAGCATTGCAATCTCTGATATTGTTTGATCGTATGGCTGCGTGTGTCTGTGCCCGAGAATGTATTGTTTTCAACGTTGTTTAAATAGTAATTTGATATTGTGTATAGAATATCAAAGTATTATGTTCGATACTCAGGAAAAGCTCTCCAAAAAGTCTTATTTCCGACTTCGTCTGAGGGCTCTTCACATTCATAGTAATGCCGAAAATTTACTAGTAATGCATGATTTCTGGGCTTTGACAGTAACATATATATATATATTAATTTAACAAAATCAATTTTATTTATAATATTTAATTTTTAAATATTATATATTCATTTAATATATATATATATTATATATTAATTTTAATATAACAGTTTTGGTGTGTTGTTTATCAAAAGGATTATGATATATTGTATTATATATATTCAACGATTTAGTTTTAACTTTGTATATCACTCTTTCATTTCTTTTTTTTTTATTTATTTATTTAGTTGTTTTTTTTTAAATTTTTAAATGTTACTATATTATATTAGTTTTCTTTTTTGCACCTGCGTACTCGTTATTTTTATTATTTTCTCTTCTTTCTTTTGTGGCAATGATTAAATAATAATAATAATAATAATAACAATATCTTAAACGAGTGTGTGAGATATGTTTTTTTTTGGAATGAAGAAAACATCACTTTGGTCGTTCTCGTGTAATTGAAATATTATAATTTCACTTTTTCTGTGCAACAATCTTCTATTCTTTTTTTCTCATCATAATTTATTGTAACAACAACAACAACAACATCAACAACAAAAATATAAGACGAATATTTTACTTTGGAATTGAATTAAAAATTATCATTCATTTTAAAGAAAATATATATTGCGTATTATTTTTTTATTAACACTAAATTAACCGGACACTTGTTTTGTTTAATAATTAATCAATTTGACTTTGAAACATTAAAAAAAATTAATAAGCGCATATATGCGTCCGTAGCACACTCAAAGGGTTAAAATATATTTAAGTTTAAAATAAAAAAAAAAAAAATAAAAATAAACAATAGTAATATATTTTAATAACGATTCAAAAATTCTGTTTAAAATACATTTCCATTTTAACACATACCACACGATGTTATCCATGCATTAACTTTTAAAAAT